TCTCCACATGATTTCCCCCCCCCCCCCCCCCGCCTTCTCATCCTCTGTTTTTGACAACTGGCCAGAAGTATAACATTCTAGCTAGGCAAGTAGTATTTTGGCAGCACAATAATACCAAGGGCTATTTTGTCTTTATCCTCTTGTTAGTTGGTAGGTACTACGGTAGCCAGGATCAATCTGGCCTCATGAGGAATGAAGAGCAGAATTTTATAGTGATAATGTTTCTTTAAAGGTCCGTTTCAAATATGTTTGAAATCTAATAACTATTTGCTTTGGATCACAAGGGATCCAACTCACTTGCTGCCGGATGATTAAATGGAACCCTTTCTAGTAAGATTCTTGACAGAAGAATCTTTCAAACCACATTTATCTTGGTCTTTCAGCGGCTGGGAGCAGTTGTGTTAGTTTGCACATTCTGCCCTGCCTCCAGCCTAACTTTCATCATACCTCCCCTCCAAATCTTTCAAAGGTAGAAATTTTGTAAACTTTGCTAACTATACTCAAGTAAATGCAAATCAATCAATAAAATAGGTTTTGTAAAAATGTCTGTTGACGATGCAAGGAGTGACATATCCATGACAGCTGGCTGTAATTCCATAAGTTACAGTGCCCTTATTTGCAAGGGTCAACCTCAGTTCTCTGTCCCCTGTAGAGTCCCGGTTCCAATTTTATCTTTTGTCTGTATGAGTGGGTAAAACTGGCAGCCTTCATGTTTCAGTCCCATTTCCCCAGTCTCTAGCTTATCTCTCTAAGCGTGCAAGATGAATCTTCACTCTAGCGCACCCACATGCCAATGCGCACACCCATGCACACACGACACCTGCGCAAGACTCCCCTTCCACCCTCCTCCCCAGTTGCCTTTCCAGATAGGAAATGTTGCTGAGCGTGTTGGCATTGCTGCCATCACACTGAGAGATCTATCCTTTTCCTTAGATACTTCTACATCTACTCAAAAAACCATGGGTCAGCTCAGTACCCTGCCCTGCCATCAGAAACTGTCAGAGAGCAGGCTGCCAGAGCCGGTTCTCTGGCAAGGCGGGATACAAATGGAAAAATAATAAATAAATAAGTAAATAATAAATTAAAAGCAAGCAAAGAGCACCCCTTCGACAACCTCTGATGGCAGGAAAACAGGGGCTCAAGCACGGGTCCATAAGATTATGCGGCTGTCCTATCTGCTACTCAGAACAGAGGGTTCTTCTACAGAGCATAGCTAGGCCAACTAATTCAGCTGCTAGGGACACCTTTTCCAGAGTGCTGCCTTTAAACTGGCTGATTGGGAGGGACCCACCAATGAGACACGGGGGTCTTGGAACCCGGTCTTCAAGACTGCCATGGCTTAGTTTTCTCAAGACATTCCTCCCCGAAGCCTGGGCACCTGCCCTCTGTTCCCGCTGTTCCCCATCTCCCCTCTGTCTGTACAAATTTTGCTGACTCATGGCACGAATGACTTCAGAGCATCACACGTCTGGGAGGGGCCAGCCAACCACCTGACTGTTCTGGAGAAAGGCTGACACGGTTTTACTTGGACACAGCCGGTCTCTGCCCGGTCCTCTGTGTAAAGACTTTCATATGATCCCTGAAGAGGTAGACAGCAGGGTGAGTCCCGGCATGGCAACGATGCAGTTGGCTCCTGCGTTACAGTCAGATTCTCCAAGCTGCAACCTGAGAATCCTACATTCTTCTACCCTGGTGTGGTGCAAGGGGCTAAAATGCTGAGACGCAGATGATGGGAACAAGGTCTCAGCTCTGCATTTTGACATGATGTTTACTGGGTGACTTTGGGCCACCTCGCAGAGGATGGAAATGTGTGTGTGTGTGGGGGGGGGTAATTTCATCACCCTGAACTCCTTGCAGAAGGGTGGGACTGAAACGTTATGTGAAGCAGGAAAGAATTAGACTAGGAACTCCCATGCCCTGTTCAACAGCCCTCCCAGATTATCCAATGGACAGCAACTGTACCACCGAAGGATGCTTGGATCTGGATGAAATAACCAGCACACTTCGAGGCCTCCCTGCTCTTGTTTTGGTTTGGTTTTGGCCACGCGTAAAGGATGGGAGGCGGAACCCTTCCCCGTTCCAAAGACGGCCATTAATCAGGCTCTAACTGCCAGTCAAAATCCATTCGCCAAACCTTCACGCACGCACAAAAAGAATATATCACAGACCTAAACCAGTCTGACAGCCGTTTCCCTCTTCCCAAGCGATGCCCGGGAAAACTGCAGTTCTGAAATGGGGCAACAGAACTCCAAAAGGGGTCTCTCGTCATCTTCACCAACCCCTTCGTGCCCATGATGCTCTGGGACAAACCAAACCATGTGAGTGGGATGACAGTGATGCAAAGTTTGCGGCGCAGATGCGGAGTTCTTCCCTCCCACACGCTTTCCTGAGGGTCAGCAGCATCCTGTGTCAAGCTCCTCTGCTAGCATCAACACTCCACAAGACTTTATCACTCCATACTCCAGAAGGACAATGCCTCCGAGGGTCCACAAGGCCCGAGGCCCTGGCATGTCTGCATGCCCGTCTCCTCTCCCGCATCACTCCACTGCTGGCAATCACAGCCGCCTCTCTCGCGCTCTCCTTTTCAACCCAAGGGCTGTACAGTATTTTAAGCTAGGCAAAAGAAACCAGGCAGATTCTGCATTTGCACACACACCCCCGAAAAAATGAATCATAACTTTTTCTTTTTGCAAAACAAAACAAAACAAAATTCCGACGACAGGGAAAACTCTTCCAAATGCTGGCTTCACTTTACAAGCTCGGGTCATTAGATGTGGTGGCCACATCCTCTCCTCCCCCCCCCGTCTCCCCACCCCACCCCAAACTCACAAACAATAGCAGGAAAACAAGCCAGACTCCTGAATCCCTTCATGTGCTAGAACCCCGCAGGGGAAGACTTCTCCGAAATCCACGCTGCCTCTGGCTTAGCGAGGTGACAGCCACCACCAGTTCCCTTTCCTTCTTTACAAACCAGCCACAAGCTGAAGACCCACCGGTTTACCATACAGAAAAAAGCCACCTGGTCCCCTCCCTGTCTCTCCAAAAGCCAACCGCTCTGCCTAAGCTGGCATGCTGGGTTTTCGTCACCCCTTTTCCTCTGGCATCCTCTCTGCCCCCCCTCCCTTCCAAGCCTTGCTTTATTGCATGCAACGGTCAGATCTGGGAGTCCGTGACTTAGAAGCAGACCCAAGAAGACACCAAGACGCAAAAAAAAGGCCAGCCCCCCAGCTGGGGGCTGGCTCCACACTCTGTCTGGCCGCCCCTCCCAGGGGCTCTGCTCACATCGGAACACCGGCACGTGCCAGCAGCATCCCCCCCCCAACACAAAAGCACTTCTCTCCCCCCACCCACCCCCCTTCCCACCCCAGCCCGGAGGGAGGGAGGGAGAGGAGGGACTCCGGCTCCTACCTGAGGATGGCGCTCTCCCCTTGCCTGACGGTCACGTTATCCATCGCCTTGGGGAAGGTGGCATCTCCGCTGCGCACGGGCACTCCTGCGGGCACAAGGAAGAGCAGCCTGAGACACAGGACGACCAGGCACCTCCAGGGCAGGACCAGGCACCCGCCGACCCCCATTCCTGGGCCGCCGCGCCGACTTCCCGCCAGGCACACAGACGCACACACCAAAGGGACAGAAACGGTGCCCGGGAAGAGAGAGCGAGCGAGCGAGAGCTTCTCGAGACACCTGCCGGTGCCAGCCAACACAAAGGCAGGCAGGCAGGCTGGCGGGGAGGGAAAGTCGCCGGGAGGAAGGAAGGGGGGGGCGGCGGAGGGAGACCCCCGCCCCAGATCTTCCGGGCGGTGGCAGCGCCCTCGGCGATCCGGCGTCGGCGATCCCAGCCTCCCCGGCGGAATCCGGAGGGGACCTCCAGCAGGGACGCCACGCCGCTGCCGCCGGAGCCGGGCTTCCCCTCAGCAGCAGCAGCAGCAGCAGTCCATGCCTCTCCTCACTTGGCGGCGGCAGCAGCAGTAGCAGCGTGGTCGGACTCGCTCTGCAGACCGCGACCCGGGCGGGCTCCCTGGCCAGAGTTGCCCAACTCCCTGCCTGGCCGGCAGCGGCACCGGAAGCAGCCCGAGGCGAGGCGAGGCGGCCGCCCGGCGGGGACGCAACTTCGGGGAGGCGGGCGGGGGAGGTCCCAGTCTTGGCGGGGGGCGTCTGGGGCAGCGGGGCCGGGCTCAGCAGAGGGCGGCGGGCGGCAGGGGCGTGCCCAGGGCTGGGGCGGCTGCTGCTGCTGCTGCTCCGACTTTCACCACCCCAGCGCCACTCTCTGCCGCCGCCGCCGCCGCCTCGTCCCGCTCTCCCGCCAGCGCGCGCGCACGCCGACTTCCAGGGGTTGTCATGGCAGCAACTCCATCACTGACCAACACTTTGGCTCCCCGGCACAGACATCGCTGAGAAGCGCAGACTGGGCACATTAATCTTAGCCAAGGACTTGGGGGCGGGGGAGAGACTCCTGCTTTAACCCTTGATGGGCCGGGTATACCTTGAGGCTTGGGGGGGGGGAGGTTAACCCTTTCAGGCCCGGGCTGAAGCCGGCTTGCAGGATCGGGGATGCTGAGATGAGGACCACACCGGACACACACACCGGCTTCCCCGCCTGGAGGGCTCAACGCAAAAGGGGAGAAAGGTCCCCTAGGTGCCTGAACCCGGTCCTCGGCTAGAATGCGGCCAAGGACCAACTCAGACCGCTGGTCTGCCAAGGTGAGCGGTGTCTGCACCAATCCACTCTCCGGGGCATTCCGCTGAGGTCTTTTTACCTACTGTCCCATCCTTTTCACTGGAGATGCCGGGGGCCAGTGTTCCCTCTAAGCTGTGGAGTCTTGTGAGCAAAAATTCTACTTTGTGAGCTGCTGGCATTAAAGTTGTGAGCGAGCGATTTGGCTGCTGCTTAAATCAGTTTGCTCTGGAGCCATCCCTTCCTGAGCCAAGACAAAAATGTGTGAGCCGGAGGCTAAAAAACTGTGAGCTAGCTCACACTAACTCAGCTTAGAGGGAATACTGCTGGGGACCAGTGTTCCCTCGAAGCTGAGTCAGTGTGAGCCAGCTCACAGTCTTTTAGCCTCCGGCTCACACATTTTTGCCTTGGCTCAGGAAGGGATGGCTCCAGAGCAAGCTAACTTATGCAGCAGCCAAATCGCTCGCTCACAGTTTTCATGCCAGGAGCTCGCCGAGCGGAGACCTTCTGCATGCCAGGCAGGTGCCCTGCCCCTGAGCCACACCCCTTCCCCACAAGCCTCACACATGTCTTTCCACTGCCAATGTGTTCTGGCCCTTCTGGAGTGGCTTAACTGCAAAGCCACTTTAGCCAAGGAGGTAGATTGAAATTGGCATCTTTCCTGGGCACACCAGCCCCTACCATGGACTGCTTCAGTGGCACCAGAAGTGAGGAGCGAAAGAGTCTCCAGTTCAAACTGGGACCTCGGCCAGGAGCTCACCAAATAGACACAGACGAGCCAATTTCTCTCCGTCTCCCACCATCCCTCATCTGCAATGCAATAACTGATACTGGCCTCCTTTGCCTGATTGTTGTAGGCTGAGATCGTGTATGAGAAGGGCTTTGACAGTTCACAAAGCATAAAAGAGAAGAGGAAGAAGGGACTAGATTTATACCCCACCCTTCACTACCCGAAGGAGTCACAGAGCGGCTTACAATCTCCTTTCCTTTCCTCTCCCCACAACAGGCACCCTGTGACGTAGGTGGGGCTGAGAGAGCTCTTTTGAGAACTGCCCTTGAGAGAACAGCTCTGAAAAAAGCTTGTGACTGACCCAAGGTCACGCCAGCAGCTGCATGTGGAGGAGTGGGGACTCAAATCCGGTTCTCCCAGATTGGAGTCCGCGCTCCTAACCACCACACCAAACTAATTAACCTTGTTAATCTTAAGGCTGTTTGCAACAGAAAACATTTGTTTGTTTGCTTGTTTTTACAAAGCCTTAGCTATTGCAGATTGCATGACCTGAAAGACAGATGGTTAGTATGTTCTCCACCACAGCCTTTTGCAGACAACAAACAGGCACTTCCGATAAGACTCCTGGGGCATCTGAAAGATGTAATATAAACACTTGGTCAGATGCTACATTTGTTAGTTGTAAGGTGCCACAGGGCTCCTTTCTTTCATTTTCTGCAATGGACTACCCCACTGGAACGGGCATCTCATGCCCCTGAAATGCCCCCTGTTCTTAGACCGAGAATCTCTGTCTGAGCAGACCATTCCCCCGCACATCACTTGTTCCTGAAGCTTCTTCCTTGCCGACTGCCCTTTGTTAACATTCCACTGACAATAACCCACCCAGCAGCACTGCTGCCTTTTACAGATAGTATATTATAATAAACCTGGTCATAAAAATGTCCTTAAAAAAAACACACCAATGGGGCCATTAATAACCACTTTACTCTCACAAATGGATCTGGTTGAATGTAGAGTAACTTCATCTCTAACAATATTTACCCACCGGGTACGCAGTTTCAGAGAGGGGGAGCCAACATGGTAGAAAGCATCTCCAAAATCAGAACGCATGACTTGCCACTTGCCAGAAGAACAAGAAACAAAGTGGACATACGATTTCCTTCACCGTAAGGCCCTAGTTGGGGCTGACCCCCCCCCCATCTCCCACATGTAAGTTTCTCATCTCCTTATGTTATTCTCACAACAGCCCTGTGAGGTAGGTTACACTGACAGACAGTGACTGGCTCACAAGTATCATGCATTTACTTATTTAGTACATTTTAATCTTCCACAGTTTCATCCTTACAATAACCTTGTGTGGTAGATCCAGGTGGGTATCCGTGTTGGCCTGAAGCAGCAGATCAAAGCTTGATTCCAGTGGCACCTTTAAGACCAACATAGTTTAATTCTGGGCATAAGATTTCGCGAGAATGCACACAAAAGCTTATACCTCAAATAAAACTCTGTTGGTCTTAAAGGCGCCACTGGACTCAAGCTTTGTTCCTGTGAGGTAGGTTAGGCCTCAAGGGAGTGACTGGCCCAAATGAAAAGTGATGGCAAGTAAGGATTGGAACTCAGATCACCACAATCCTAGTCTAAAACTTTAACCGCTATACTGCACTGGATCTCTGTGAGAGTCAGTGAGCTTCATAGCTAAGCAAGGATTTGAACTCTAGCCTTTTATTTACACAGACTTGCAAATTTTATGGTTCATTCCAACCTGTCAACACTCAAGGGGTCATCCACAATATATTTCACTTTAAAAAAAAAAATCCCTTTCCTCCTTCCCTTGTTATACTCTGGCCCACTTCAACCAGTATGAAAACCTTCCTTTGCCCCAGCTTGGCTATCTCAGCCAGTGCTGTGGTTAGAGAGTAGGACTAGGACCTGGGAGGCCCAGGTGCGAATCCCACGCTGGGAAGCTTGTGGGCTTCCCCTGGGCCAGTCACACATACACGGCCTAACCTACCTCATAGGGTTGGTTGTGAGGATCAGGGGTCATTTCCTGCAGGAGCGCACAGGAGCGGAGCTCTGGCAGTAAGAAGCCCAGGGGGTGGGCACATGCAACAAGCCCCACCCCCTGCTCCCAGCAGCCCTCAGTCGGGCCACAAGAAGCAGCCAGGTAAGTTGCAGAGCCCCTCCCGGTCTGTCTTCAGGTACAAGCTCTCCCTCCTCTGTGAGGGCAGATCTGTGCATTCTCCTCCCCCCATAGCTAGCAATCCAAAACAGTCCAGTGGAGCCTGAGCGGTGGGTGTTGCCTTCTGAAACATTTTTGGTGATGTCAGGGGGTGTGGCATATGCAAATGAGTTAATAAGTTATGCTAATGAGCTCCTGTCCCTCTTTTCTACAAAATGACCCCTGGTGAGGATGAAAACGGAGGAGAAGGGAACAACGTAAGTCACTTTGGGGACCCTTTGGGCAGAAAGGCGGGGTATAAATGACGTAAACAGAAATAAAAATCTGTGAAACAATACAGGGCATAACTCGATTTTTGACTGGCAGCTGGATGTATAAACTTGTCCGGTTGAAAAGGTTTGCTTTTGAGACAAAGTGAGGGGGAAATGAAAACTTCCAGGGCCCGTTCACACATGCGAGTTATTCCCTTGACACCTGTGAGGGTCCGTCTGTGATCTTCCTGTACTGTACCTTGGAAGCGGAGCGCAACTCTGCTTTCAGGAGAGGGACGGGAAGGCACTCACAAATCACAGTCACCGGCCCGCAGGCCTTAAAATCCTCCATGCGGAGAAGATGCAGCCCTTCCTGAGAAAGAGAGCATTTGGTTGTGTGATTCACAGCCTGCTTGCCAGCCAGGGACGGCAGCTCAATGCGTAAGAATGTTTGCTATCTCACAACATGAAAACACCTCTATAGGTAGACTAGCTCACGCCCCCCCCCTCTGCTATTTGCTAACTGAATTATTATTTCTATATATAATCTCCCACTGGTAGAAAGTGCTAGACATAAACAGCCCAGAGGGAATTGAATCCTTTATCTCAAGAAGAGAGCCGCAAAGACCAGCTTCCTAGCAATGATGGCCCCTTTCCGTATCCTTCTCTTGGCTTGCCCAACCGAACTCTAAGCTGAAAGGCAGTGCGGTGGAGTGATTACAGTGTCAGACTAGGGAGTCAAATCCCTGCTCAGCTATGGCAGGCCCGTAGCTACATGACGGTGTTTGAAGCCGGAAAATAGCAGAGTAGTTGTAGTGGAGTATTTACAGTTTATTTACAGAGCTTATATACATACACAGCTTTGTAGCAGTTCAGAATATTCACTGACAAAGTGCTTCGCATAACAACAGTAACCATCAAGGCAGTCCTGTACAAAGAACTCATTACAATATATACATACATTGACCAATCACAGTACAGTTCTGTACGTTTGCTGAGCCATTCTGACACCTTCAGATATGATGCAACTTTGGTGTCACATGACCTCTTAGCTGTCATTCCAGATCATCTAGATCTAACTCATGTTCCGTGACATTGCTGTGATCTTGCCTATACTGACACTACAGTGGT